TCCTAGCCAGCATGGCTGGCTGGGGAATTCTGGGAGTTGAAGTCCACATATCTTAAAGTTATGAAGGTTGAGGAACACTGCAAAGGGCCGCTTGGTCTCTCTGTTTCTTTCTTCTGCAGGCTCTGGGTGCGTACCTCCCAGCCTTGTCAGGTCATGGATACATTCACAGAGGAGTATCTGTCCACCCCTTTCTGCCAGAGGTTCCTGCCACATTGCAACAGTGCAATCCAGAATCTTTTAAAGCAGAAAAACAAATTAAACGAGTGAGAATGGGGTGGGGAGGGAATTGCCAAGCTGTACACTGTAAAAAAGGGCCTCTTGAAAGAACCGAGAGCCCTAATGCTCTGTCCTGGCTGGACCCTGGCAGTGGTGGGTCTCACCCCACCAACATTTGGACAGCGAATTATTCAGGGAGATTGAAAATCTGAACCAGTATGGCAGAGGGTTACGAAGGCCAGTCTGTATAATACAAAAAATGGAAGTGTATGAAAAGTGCCCACCTCAGATGGAGCAGCTGAGGTCAGCCTTCTCCAGCCCCCACTTCCAAATATTTTGCATGACAACTCTCAGCTCCAGCAGGCCCAGCAATACTCATGGATTATGGCCATTGTGGTCCAAAATATTGGAAGGCCAATGCTGTGGGATGCACCTGGCTGTTCTTCCATTGCAGTCCTGGGTTAGTGCCTTTAATTCTAAAATAGGAAGCCCTGTGCTTTGATCCCATTTTCTTCCCCATTTTTGTCTCCCTCTGGGGCAGGTTTGTCTCAACTCCTTTCCCCAGGTGACCATAGCTCTTTCAGTTTATTTCCCAGATAGGATTTTTTTTACCCTCTACTGCTTTGTTTTCTTTCTGTGTCTTGAATATCCATTCCTAATAAAGAAGCTGGATTTCTATTGTGGTTGCTGGAAATAGCTGAGTTATAAGTGGCACTGGATTCACCACCTGCCTTTTCACTATGCAAGATGAGGAAATAAAAGAGAAAAACAAAGCCTTTTTGCAAAATGTTAGGACAGTTTTAACCTCTCTTTGCCCAAGCGGAAAATAATGAAGGTATGTTATTGCTTCTAGCAATTCCACTTATTAATTATTTGGATTTTTAAGAAATCCGTATCTTATATTTCCATCTTAAGGACTGGAATCCACATTCCAGTTCTATATGTTCTTCTTCCACATTGAAGCCATAGAAACGCCCAGGGCCACCACAACCCAGTAGGCAAACTGTGTGCTACACAAGGCTGCTACATGGGAGGGCATTAGTTAAAAAAAATCAATGAAGATTTGCGAGTGTGCATGTGCGCAACTGGAATATTTAAAAAAATGTTTTTATCGGCGGGCGAGTGCACTCATGTGGGGTTGGAATATTTAAAAAAATGTTTTGGGGGATTTTAAGTGGAATTCCGCGTGAGGGCACTTTGTATGCCAGCAGTGCCTCTATGTGCACCACTCTAGAACAGCTCACATATTAGAAAAGTTATTTCTATTTATTTGTGACTATTTATTTATGAGATGTATCTACTGCTTCAAACCAAATAGTCTCTAGGCAGTATACAGAGACAAGTAATACGATAATACAAGAATAATAACTACAAAAAACCATAATACGATAAAACGAATATTGGTACCCGTAGCTTCACAATCCATCCCCGAAAGCTTTCTGAATGAACCCAAGTTTTACCATCTTTCAGAAGACTATACTTGCCTCGGGGTCAGGTAATTCCAATAAACTGCCAAATAAAATACTACAGGCAACAACAATGAAAATTAAGGAGCAGAGCGATACCGTTGTTAAGATGTATTTAGAGATTTGGAAAAATAGAAAGGCACACCGTCACATCCCTGGTTTATGGGAAGAGCGCTCCAGAGAATTGCAACGGCGGACAACAGATCACCTTTTGCACAGCTGCTGTAGCTGTATCTTTAACATCAGCCTCATTTTCAGACCTTACCAAAAATGTTATCTTCATACTGTATAGAGCAGCTTTTCCCAACTTGGACTGGACAACAATTCTTGTCATCTTAACCTGCAATTCTCCACTCAGGAATTGGCTGGGAGAAATGGTTCATCCCTTTCCTGCCTGTTTAGGGAGAAAGGCACTTCAGGTGCCAAGGAAAGGAGGGAAGGGCAAGGGGAGGACTTATCCCATTCCTAAATTGGGGTGGGGAGAAACTAGGGCTACTACTTCTGAACTGAAAAACTGTGGAGGTATGGTAGTGACCCTCAGCGTTTGGAGATGATGAAGTCTGTAGGCTCTGGAACTAAAAACCTGGAACTAAAAACCAGCTGGGTGGAGCTTCTGCTCAAAGAACGATCCAGCACAGATTTGATGGGAGAAAAAAACAAGTGTGCTGCAATTATGAAAATAAAAGGTCAGCATGAAACTTCCTCTTAAGTTGCCAAAAATGATTACGCTTGGTGCAATGTTATTGATACAAGCTGAACGTCTTTTTCCCATGCAGAGTGCCTTTCGTATACGCCTATTCAGCACTTTTCTTTTTCATAAGAAGTCATTTCTGGGGGAAAAAATCAAGCTGCACTTTTTAAAAAAAAACATGGGACTTCTCTTTCCTAAAACATAAGGGTTTGGTCGGTCGGGGTAGAGATTACATCAGATGTAGAGGGTGCATTCTTCCCTTGGTGGGTTATTTCCTGTTGCTGCATGTTTCAGAATATCTATGGTCTTAGATACTTAGACAATAACAAAAATGCTGAGGCTTCCAGATGGAAAGCTCAGGAAACTGGGCATAAAATGGGACAGTGACTTCACCTTTCCCTCATTAATGGATTCTTCCCTCTGTAAGAAAAAGATGGAAGAAGCAATGGGAAAATACAGAAGGGCCCCAAATGGAGGACAATGACATCTTGATGCTCTGTAAAATGTTGTGAAGGAGGCAGAATGATGGTGTAAATGAGGCCTCCTATGGAAGGCCTCAGTCTTGGGGCACCTAAAGATCAGCCAGATTAATTACGGCAGAAGGTTTGGTCGGTCGGGGTAGAGATTACATCAGATGTAGAGGGTGCATTCTTCCCTTGGTGGGTTATTTCCTGTTGCTGCATGTTTCAGAATATCTATGGTCTTAGATACTGTGCACACACTGGTTTTCTGTTGACACACACGTGAACTCCCTTGCAATGCCCCTGCAAACTTTCCACTGTCCCTGGCCAGGGCTTTGTTACAGAGGCTTCTCAAAGGGGAAGTCCTAGAACCCTAGGATGCCCCACCTACCAGGGTGGAGTCATCCACAGTCTTGGGACTTCCCCCACTGCTCATTTTAAAGCCTTTCCATTTCTCTCTGGCTTCTTGCTGAGTCAGAACCCATCATGGAGATCCTGGGGTTGAAGAGGTTCCAGTTCCTCCTAGTAGTATGCTGGTTTTTTGTGAGCCTGGAAGCCCCTGCAGGTAAAAGGGGAGAGGGAAGAGAGGTCAGGAGAAAGTTTTTTCCCTACGCATGCACTTGTGCCTTTAACATCACAGTCAGAAACTAAGCCCCTTACTCTTTTCCTTTCCACCCTGGGGGAAAGGTTTTTTTCTGTGTACCACCAACTAACAGAAGTGCAGGAGCGAATCCAGGTTTTAAAAAGTAGTAGCCCCAGTGACAGATTGCATTTGGTTACTAACTTTCAGTTGCCACAGCAGAGTAGTGTACTTCGGATTAGTTCCATCAAAGGCAGGAGTTCAGCCAGTGTTTTCCCCCATTAAATTTCTGCCTGACATGCAGCTGTTAAGCAGAGGGGATTGGAAAGAAAGGAAGGAAGAGAGAGAGAGAGAGGGAGAGAAGAAGGAGGAGGGAAGGAAGGAAGGGAAAGAGAAAGAAAGAAAGAAAGAAAGAAAGAAAGAAAGAAAGAAAG